CGAGCGAGCCCCGCGCGGCGTCCCGAGCGCGCCGGCCCGTCGACGCTATTCTCGACCGAACGTTTTTCTTCCGCCCTCGGCGCGGACGTTTCCGATCGCGCGCCTCGTCGCGAGGCGAGATCGAGGAGGAAAACGAAAACGGGACGCCTCTCGCGGCGCCGGCGTCGTCCCACTCGAGACGGGACGACGCCGCGAGCGGGATTCGCGCGAACGGGAGATCCGCGATCGCGCCGCCCGTCTCGGCGCCTCGCGAAAACGGGATTCGTTCGGTTTGAGCTCTCGAGCGCTGTCGCGGCGCGCGACAAGAAGGAGGGTTGTCGCGTTTGTCTCTCTCTTCCGTACGGTCGCTCTTCCTCGCGGTGCGAGCGAGAATCGTTGCCCACCCCACGGCGACGCGGCGCGTCGCCCGACGCGAGAGATGATGATGATGATGAAATCGCCATTTATTGTGCGCTCCAGGATAGAGCGCCTCTTGAGCGCACAGAGAATAGAAATTACATCGATACATACTTATGCAAATGACGCTTCTGATAATACAATATTACAACGGCGTGTAAAGATATACAAGAAAATATACGTAGGATTTAATGTATATTTGTGTGTGTGTGCATGTTGCGTTTGCACGCACGCATGCATGTGTGTAGAACAAAGAATTCAAAAACAAAAAAATTAACAACATGAACTAAAATATAACAAAGTAGATAACAAAAGAAAAGGAACAATAAAAATAAAACTAAGCAGTTACTCGTACAGTTTTGCCCTAAAAACGCACCGCGCCTCCGAGTTACGTAGCTCGGACGTTCCACGACGTTCAACCGCGCTACGTCTGAACGATATAAAACTCTGTGCGACACAGAGGCATCAGGAGATGCCGCGCTTTCTCGTATCTCGCTGGACCACGTCGCTTCCGTCTACTCGAAGCCACCGAAGCGGAACATTAGGAATCCCAGAGTAGAAAGCATCGTGCTACCCGTAAAAGTAATTGCGCCTCATAAAGGTATGGAGAGACCGAGAGAGAGAGAGAGAGAGAGAGAGAGAGCGTTCGACCGTCTCGAACAGTTGGAGGGGGGAGTTCGCTCGCGTCGACGACACACGAGTGTCATTCAGCGCCGATCTTACGATATCCTCGTTGCCGTGAGATCCACAACCAGATCTTGTTGAATTCGACGACGGGAGGCTCGGAAATCGTTCAATGTTCAACTCGACGAACACACATTCCGTAGGACGATCGCCTCGGTTGTGTCACCGATAGATATGTCCACGTAAGATCCCACGCTGATTCAAAGATATCCGTGTATCGGGGGTGGAGCGAATCCTCTTCCCGTAAGATACGCGAGGCGAGAGACGCAAGACGCAATTCTGCGAAAGAATCGAAGCATTGGAAAATATATAATAATCGGTGGAAAATAATTTATCGGAGACTCACGCGATCCTCGGGGCGTGGAAATCCACGTCTAGTATACCCACTCTATCGCCACGTCGTCGTCGAACTTTGTTTCGAGTGCGCGTTTCAAAGCGCGAGCGACCCATCCGTACCTCCGCCGACTTGTATCCTCCTCCCCTCCCGTGTTCACCTCTATGTAGATCCTCTCTCTAAAGACAACTGACATTGGCACGTTACAGGCGTAAAACTCATCGGGCCTCTCATCGGCCGCTTGGTGAAAGAATACGGATCTCCGCCACACGTCCGAGGGCGATTCGTCCTCGGTGTAGCGATGTTCACCGATACCGCGAATAGTCGAATGACACGTACGAAGGAACGACACCGTCGCGTCGTTCCAATGTATA